ACTGTGTAGTGTAATCTATGACTAAGTTAAAAATTACTTCTGTAAACTGCAGAGGTTTACATGATTCTATGAAAAGAAAGGATGTCCTAAACTATTTAAGAAATTTTAAATCATCTATTTATTGTTTACAAGACACCCACTGTACAGAATTAGAGAAAAATTCAGTTTATGCCCAATGGGGTAATGACATACTCATCAGCTCAGGAAAATCAGATGCAAGAGGGACTTTAACCCTTTTTAATAACACAAATGAAATAAAAATTTCTAAAGTTTATAGTGATAATGAGGGGAATTTCATTATATCAAATATAATGGTGGATAACAAGTACTCAATCACTTTGGTTAATTTATATGGTCACAATAAAGATAATCCTAAATTTTATGCAGAAATAAGTGATAAAATGGATGATTTTTTTGATACTGACTTTATAATTATGTGTGGAGACTGGAATGTAGTACAAGATTACCAGTTAGACTGTTACAATTATGTTAGAGAAAACAATCCCAAAAATAAACTTGAAATTGAAAAATTAAAATCAAAATTCAATTTAGTAGATCCTTGGAGAATCAAAAACCCAGATGCTAAAAAATATACATGGAGTAGGAAGAACCCAGTAAAACAGGCTAGACTTGACTTTTTTTTAGTATCAGAGGAACTCTTATCAATTATAAATGATGTTCACATGATGCCAGGCTATAGGACTGATCACTCTATCATAGAATTAGATATTACTATTAATGAATTTAAACGTGGAAAGGGATTCTGGCGTTTTAACAATTCCTTATTGAGAAACAAAGAATTTGTGACAAATGTTAAAAAAATTATAAGGGAAACGGATAATGAATATCGTATTGATGAATCAATGTTAGGAATACCAGATAATCTTTTTCTTGATGTTCTATTAATGAAAATAAGGGATATGGCAATACAATTATCTGCAAATTTGACCCGAGAAAGGAGGGATCACAAAGCAAAGATTGGAAATCAACTAAGAATTTTACATGATATGTATAATAATTACCCTTTGTCAATTTATCTAGGTATGATAAGTGACCTTGAGACAGAATTAGAGGAAATTAGAAAATATGAATTGAAGGGGCTATTGTTAAGAAGTCATTGTAAATGGATAGAAGATGGGGAGAAACCTACAAAATATTTTTGTGCCTTAGAAAAAAGAAATTATGTCAATAAAAATATTAGCAATTTAATCAATAATGATGGTAAATATGTAAATAAGCAAGCAGATATCTTAGAAGAAGTAAGGAACTTTTACAAAAAATTATATGAAAACAAAGATCAGGAGCTTGATGATGTAAATCTTGAAGACTTATTCCAAAACTTTGAGGTTCCTAAAATAAATAATGATATGAAAAACATTTTAAATGCTGAAATTACAAAACAAGAAATACTTCAAGCTCTTAAAAATTTTAAGAACGACAAAACACCTGGAACTGACGGTTTTACAGCAGAATTTTTCAAGTTTTTTTGGACAGATATTAATTCATATATTCTCAAATCCTTTAATTATAGCTATGAAGTAGGTCAATTATCTTATACTCAGATGCTTGGAATTATTTCTATTTTACCAAAAGGCAATAAGCCAAGGGAACAATTAAAAAATTGGCGATCAATTACATTATTGAACATTACATATAAACTCTTATCTAGTGTCTTAGCAAATCGAATGGAACCAATTCTGTCAAAAGTAATACATGAAAATCAAAAAGGGTTTCTTGCTGGTAGATATATTGGTGAAAACTCATAGGTTATTATATGACATCATACATTATTGTATAAGAGAATGATCATTCAGGTCTTGTTCTATTGATTGACTTTGAGAAAGCATTTGATTCTATTTCTTGGAGATTTATTTTTAAAGTACTCAGATTTTTTAATTTTGGTGAGAATTTTTTAAAATGGATAAAGATTTTGTTTAGAGAACCTAAGTTATGTGTTATTCAAAATGGTATTTTTTCTGAATTTTTCCAAATGGGACGAGGTTGTAGGCAAGGTGACCCAATTTCACCTTACTTGTTCCTACTATGTGCAGAAATAATGGGAATTATGATTAGAAATAATAAATTAATAAAGGGCATTGTTATTGAAGATAAAGAATATAAACTACTACAATATGCTGATGATACAGTTTTATTAATGGATGGTTCAGAAGACTCAATTAGATCAGCTTTGTCTTTAGTCAATCAGTATTCCAAATTCTCTGGACTGAAGCCAAATTATGATAAAACTCAATGTATTAGGATTGGATCTACTGTTCATACTGATGATAACTTGTGTGATAAATATCAAAATTTGATGTGGTCACAGGAACCATTTACAGTGTTAGGTATAGCATACTGTGTGGATCTAGACACAAACACTATGTTTGATTTGAATTTTTTGCCAAAGATTGACTCTGTCAAAAAGCTTATATCATCATGGTCTAGAAGACATTTATCAACGGCAGGTCGTATAACAGTAGTAAAAACCTTGCTTTTACCTAAATTTAGTCACTTATTAATTAGTTTACCGAGCCCTTCTAAAGAAAAACTCAAAGAAATTGAAGCTATATTTTTTCATTATATCTGGAATACCAAAACGGCTAGGGTGGCTAAAAATATTATATGCCAAAGTTATGAAAACGGTGGTATGAGAATGACATGTCTTGATTCATTTTGTAAAAGTTTAAAAATTACATGGATTCGCAGATTGTTTGATAGTTCATGTAAATCAGCCTGGAAAGAATTGCTAAAAGATTTAATTCCTGACATTAAATATTTAGTTATCTATGGTAGGGATTTTTCAAAAAAAAACTTAAGAAAGATACGGAAAATGTTTTCTGGAATGATGTTTTTTCAGCATTGTTGGATTTGAGATTATGTATTGATGATCAAACATCTATTTTAAGTCCCATATGGTATAATCCATCAATATGTATAAACAACAGAAGTGTTTGTTATAAGTCATGGCTGAGACAAGGTATACAATTTGTTTTTGATTTTTATGATACAAATGGGACTTTGTTAGGATACCAAGACTTTTGTAAACAATATGATTTAAAAACACCTTTTACAATGTTTTTAGGCATAACAAATTGTATTAGAAAATTACAGTTGAATTATGATCATAATATAATTCAAAGAAATCAACCTTTCTTCCCAAAATTCTTACAAACAATAACAAAAAGCAAACAAGGTGCAAGAGATTTCTATGATGTTTTTATTAGTCAGAAATACAAAAAACCAAAAAGTGAAATGAAATGGGAAAACATTTTAGAACTTAATGTTGATGAATTTTGGTGGAAAAAACAAAACATTCTGTTTTTTAACATAACAAATGATATACAGTTAAGATGGTTCCACTATAGAATTGTACATAGAATTTTAGCTACAAATACATATTTACACAAAATTGGTGTTACTGACTCAGATTTATGTAGTTTTTGTAAGAAACACCCAGAGACACTTTGTCATCTTTTTTGGGAATGCGAGTGTGTTGCAGAAATTTGGGAAAATGTACTGGATTGGATGAAAGAACAGTTTGGAGTTGATATATCTCTAAACAAAGTTGATGTTTTGTTGGGAAAACATTATAAATATAACAATATATTTAATTTAGTAGTATGTATAATAAAAAAGCATATTTATAGAAATAGATGCAAAAAATGTGTACCATCTTTTGAGAGGGTCAAACAAGAGGTTATGTATTATTTTAATTGTGAAAAATATATTTATAAGAAAAATGGGGAAATGGACAGTTTTAAAAAACGATGGAATTTGATAATGTTTTAATATGATTAATATTTTTGAAAAAACAATGCAGTTACAGATGTACATCAACTTTTCACTGATTATATTAAGATTTCAGTTGTTAAATATTATTATAAATATAATCATATGCATGTTATGTAGCGAAAGGTGTGTGAATGATATGTGAAAAAAATGTCCTGTCACATTATGATTGTGTAATATATATGTGTATTATGTATGTTACTTAGTGAACCCAGGGCCCCAACCCTGGCACTATATACTTGGACATGTGATGGGGCAATAAAAAAAAAAAAAAAAAAAAAAAAAAAACATTGTTGGTACTTTATACTAAATATACTGAGGCCATGGAAAATATTTTGATAAGTTTTTGAGATTTGATAAAGTTCATATTGATGAAAACCATATTCAGTTGTTTACTTACAAATATTTTTCAAAGTGTGGCTGAAAATGAATACATGTATCTTTCTTCACTGTTCATTCATATATTCAGCATTCAGCAGATTTTAATGATACATTGTACATGTACTTCTATACTGCAATAGCATTTTAGCAATTGTTTTGCATTTTATATTTGGTGTTGTGAGTTGATCGAATTAAGTTCTAAATTTTCCCTACAAAAATTGTATAACCATTTTTCATATACTAATTTTAATTGAAAATTGAAATTTTTGTTGGGGACACTACAATAAAATATGCTCAATGCTTATTACATTTTTTCATAAAAATTGATTAACCGTTGAAAGGTGGTATCCTAAAACAAATGCAATTTTGTATGGTGGTTCCATAAATCTTATTCCTAAATAAGAGTTAAACATCTTCATTTTCATGTTAAGAATAAATTTTTGAAGATCATTTTTACGAGTTGATGGACATCAACTCAGTAATGCTACTGCTTACAATGTTGACCTAATTTTGACCAAAGAACACACCTCGTTTATTCAGTTCCTTCTACGATGAATTGTATCACATCTTGAGAAACTCTACATAAATAAAAGCGAACATATATATTGAAGACATGTCAATGTTTCTTTTTTTGAAAGGAAATTTATTTTAAGTATAAACAATAACATTTTCATTGACATCAGACATGCCTTATTGTGTCGTTCCGACAAAAAAATAGTGCATTTTAAACCGCCGAAGAATGAAAGTGTATTTCGTCACTTCTCATATTCCTATATGTGCATATATGTCTTGTCGATTTTTAAAATTTTCAAACTAATTGCATAAAACATTGGTTAATTTTTCTGTTCGTTGGGATTTATACAAATGACACATAGGCCTAACATAGAGATCGAACTACTTTTTCATATTCATACGCACCATGCTACTTTGCTTTGTAAACAAAAACACGCAAAATCGGCAGCACAACAGTGACTTCAAAAGAAATTGACGGGACTGTGGAGGCTTACTAAGAAATTTTTAGAAGGTACGTAAATGTAATTACATGTACATTTAAGTATAGTTGCACGTGTTGCTCTGAAATATAAACTTAGCCAGTAGTTTATCGATAGGACTTCGTATGGTACTGACCGAGTAAACATTAGCGCCACCTTGTTTTTGCGGCTTTAGGGGCCTGATTCTATATAAATTTTTCTTTGTGTTTTTTCCGCAAAAGTAGCTTCCATTGTAGTAATGAGGCAACTGCCTAACTAGAAATATTATTTTCAAGTCTTTGAAAACACACAAAACAGCAGTCGTGCGACAGGACATGCCATTGAAATTTCGACTAGATTTCCATTGTTTTAGTGAAAATCGAATGAATATTTTTCTGCATGCAATGATACGAAACGAAATTATCCAAGATAATATTTCTATTTGTTGTATCACACGAAAAATACGATGAGAACGAAGCATCTGTTGGAACGACGCCATTTTTATTTTAGCCAGGAGCAGATCAAAATCCACCACATGCACCTGTTCATAATAAATCTGGAATAAGTTATTTTAATTGATTTATGTTTACTCATATCGCTTCAGAAAAATATAGACCATTTTTTTAGTGTAACATAACAGGGTGAAAGTGTCTTAATATTTATTTATTTTCATTATAAAATAAAAAAAATATTCATAAATGGGAATATGTGAAAAAAAATACACATGTTCTGGATGACATGCGAGTACAAAAGCATCCTGTGTCATACAACTATGGAATTAACAATTTGAAATGTAAAAAAAAATAAAGATCAGATTGAGATTTTGATGATCTTAAAGATGCATAACTGATGATGTCAAGGGCATTGCAGCAGATATGCATAAAGCATCAAACAATTTCTCAGAAGATAGTAGAGGTAGACAGTGTACGTGTTGCTAATGCACTTATAAGCATTTTGTATAAAGAAGTGGTTTGAATTTCTACAGAGGATTGGAATTCAAGTGATCTTAATTTATTGCTTTGGAAAGATAATGATTTACATTTAAGATGTCATAATAAATAAAATACCCTTCAAATCTTATTTTATATGTTGTTTTAATTTAGAATTTAAAATTTGTTATTTTTCTAGAAGTACATGTATAAACCATAAGGGCCAGAGCATAATGGTTCCTGGAAGGATTTGTTTACGAAACCTTTTTCATTGCTTCTGGAGGTTTGTTGGTTAATTTCTCATTCCGGAGAAATTTAACTCCATCACTACCATGTTAGGGTAAATTTTAATTTTATTTTAATTAAAATACCTTTCAGATCTTCAATTTTACTTGTTATTTATATGTCGTTTTAATGATAATGTAAAATATTTTATTTTTCTAGAGGTATACACCACAAATGGCAGAGCATAAAGGATGGCTGGGAGATTTGATAAACTTACTGTTGTAGGAGAACAATTTCAAGCATTGATATATATTAGAAAATTGTGCTGTCAGTCTTTTGTATGTTGGAGGACAAGCTTCCCCGTGAAAACTGGAACAAATGTGAAATGAAGAATGTGTATCTTTATATTGAGAACTTTTCCTTGTAAAATCACCTCTGGGAAAAAGTTTATTTCATATCAATTTAGTGTGTTCATTATTTTTTCTAATTTTATATTTGTAATTGTTTTAAAATTGCATGGCGAAACACATTTTTGCTCACCTGAGTCAAAAGCTTAAATGAGTTTTTTGATCCGATTTCTTTGTTGTCTGTTGTGTTGTAAACTTGTTACAACATAATTTTTGTTCAAATGATGCCCCTTCCCCCCTGGGAGCTTGAGACCATTTATAAAGTTAAACTTCTCAAAATGGAACTGATATCTTCTTTTTTTCAAGCCGAGATGATACTCAGGCAGTGTTTTCCCCAGAAAATTTTTGATGCATGGGGGGAATTTCGCTGAATTGACGGCGCGCGGCGTGTCTCGGTTAAGTTTATTGTACATGTATATAAATGTTAATATGTATTTAAATGAAAAATACAAATTCAATCTTTATTTAATTAATTACATTTAGAACAACTAATTGTCAATTTTACTTAAAAAATATTCAAAAATTGAGTTTTTTTTATATATAAAAATAGAACTAGGCTAATTCAAAAAAAAATTGTTCTATTAAAGTTTTCTATAAAGCCATTGTCTTTTTACTGTGTTGTGTATTGTGTTATTTTTGCTTTCTACAAATAGTGACATCCACCTTTTTGTTATTATTAACTTATGTCCTTCCTTTAGTCTTTTGCAGTCTACTTGAAATAAAAAGGGTGCTCATTAATATGAAGCACTAATGCTTATATGTAAATTTTGTGACAACTTATTTGCTTTCAGTTGATGTTTGATTTTTCCCGCTTTTGAATATAGGTGAAGGTCACTGTGTATTAAAAGCACATGTGTTTAAACTAAGTACCTCCCCATAGTTTATAAAGTAAATAAACATTGATAATGTTAATTAGACATGTTTATTTTCAGCACTTTAATGCAAAAGATGTCTTAAATATTATGAGTTTAACTAATGAAACAGTTTTTATGTCGGAGCATCAATGCTATTTATAGAACGACCTGTGAATGTTGGAAAAACCCACATGTGCATTAACAAGTGTATTTGATTTTACCGTGTATACTATCTGACAGCAATGTATTACTTTTTATGGTTATAATAAAATCATGACCACCGGGGGTAGGGCGGGGCCACAATAGGTAATCCAAGTTTTACATAGAAATATATAGAACAAAGCTTTAAAAATCTTCTTCTCAAGAACCACTGGGCCAGGAAAGCTGAAACTTTATGGAAGCATCCTTGGGTAGTGTAGATATTAAATTGTTTGAAATCATGACCCCCGGTGGTAGGGCGGGGCCACAATAGGGAATCCAAGTTTAACATAGAAATATATAGAACAAAATTAAAAATCTTCTTCTCAAGAACCACTGAGCCTGGAAAGCTGAAACTTATGTGGAAGCATCCTTGGGTTGTGTAGATTCTAAAGTTTTAAAATCATAAAAGGGAAGAGGGTAGTGGGCATCATAGGTAAAGAAAGAGAGGGAATCTGGTAAAGAACTGCATCACCCAAGTTACTCTGGTGAGCGATGTGGCCCATGGGCCTCTTGTTTTAAAGAGATATTACTTTTGCTGTATCCACATTAAGGGCATTCAGATATTGTTGTACCATGATACACTGTAGGTATAAAAGAGCGTTCCATTTCATTTTTTAAAATAGGGCACTAATACACAATAAATGTTTAAATAGAATGTAAAAAGAATTGCTTTCCTTATTATTTCAAATGACATTATTTCTTTATGGGATTTAATAATACAGTGCATCATCTCATGAAATTGACATCAGAAATCAAATGGAAGTCTAAATTTCTGCAAATTTTAAAAGGCAATTTCATTTCCTTATCAGTCAAGCAGTGTTCAATTTATAAGCTTGAACAACCATCAACTCGTATCAGTACTTTCAGTACTTTGATTTGTTGTTGCAAAAATACAGTTCATTTTGAGCTTGTAAAATACAGCATGTTTGTTGAAGAATTAAATCATTGTTTCATGAAAAAATATGTACATAAACCGCCATGAAATTTTCTAACTATTATTATAAGTACTTTACTTTTGACATGAATTTGTAACTGGGTATCGGATACATCTGTAAATTTTATTCTGTTAGAAAGAATAAGACTAACAATGTTATTTTGTCTCACGAATTCGGAATTCTTGACAATAACCTTCTGCATTTTTCTTGTATCATTTGAAATGGGATATTTGTAAATTTGTTTTGTAAATTTGTTTTGAGTTGTTTCATTATCTATGAATAAAGTCTTAACCAATCATAGATATAAAGACATTACGGCATCTAAATATATGTAAATTATACATGAAGAACTATAACAAAATAACGAAGCCTCAAAGATCAATTTATTAAATTGCAATTTATATGTATAAATGATTTTATGCAGACGAATGTTCTGATATGTTTTAGATATGTTTTATTTCATGAAATACTAAACTTTTAGGAGGCTTCATGTAATTTTTCTATATGGAGAGCTCCTTAATCATACAGTCTCCTTTGGCGCAATTTGATTGGTTAAAAGGTAGCGTCCCCTATGTGGCATCAGTCTAACAAGAGGTACAGTCTGTATTGTTTCGAAATTCCCTCCCACCTCCCTTTCACAGTATTTTGTTTCAGTTGTTATTTCATATTTTGTTGTCTCTAGTCATTGTAGTCATACATGTTTTTTTTTCTAGATCCTAGTCAATTTTTAGGTGGGGTTCTTGACCCCACCTGCTGCCACTAGTCGATTTTTGTGTATATACGCAGATCCTATAGTTGTTGGATACATGCTTTATAGATATTCGTTATGTCATGCAGTTTTAAGCATATCGAGCAGATACTTCGTTTCTTGTAATATTAGTATTATTCTTCTTTTTGGATTTCATGTGTAATATGTTTGCTGATTTCCTATGTTCCTTTACATTGACAAACCTCTCTATTTGAAAATTTACATTGTAGCATACATTTTGATATAATGGAACTGTAATCACAATTTAACAATGTTCAATCCATTTTTGTCTGAGAAAACTGTAATTTGCAGATCAACATTTTGAAATCCATTTTGTTATACTGGAACTGTATTTTAAAAAGTTAATTTGTACAAGTTTATAATATGTTTTGATCAGAATGCTATGATATTTTGATCAATTAACTTTTTTCAACATACCTGTGAGTTTGTCTAATCTGATGTGTAGGTAGGAAAGAGGAGGCATAAATGCAATTTATATGTATAAATGATTTTATGCAGACAAATGTTCTGATATGTTTTAGATATGTTTTATTTAATGAAATACTAAACTTTTAGGAGGCTTCATGTAATTTTTCTCTATGGGGCACCCCTTACTCATGCACTCTCCTTTGGCGCAATTTGATTGGTTAAAAGGTAGCGTCCCCTATGTGGCATCAATCTAACAAGAGGTACAGTTTGTATTGTTTTGAAATTCCCTCCCACCTCCCTTTCACAGTATTTTGTTTCAGTTGTTATTTTATATTTTGTTGTCTCTAGTCATTATAGTCATACATGTTTTTTTTCTAGATCCTAGTCAATTTTTAGGCGGGATTCTTGATCCCACCTGCTGCCACTAGTCGATTTTTGTGTAAATACACTTATCCTATAGTTGTTGGATACATGCTTTATAGATATTCATTATGTCATGCAGTTTTGTGCATATCGAGCAGATACTTCGTTTCTTGTAATTTTAGTATTATTCAACTTTTTGGATTTCATGTGTAATATGTTTGCTGATTACTTATGTTCCTTTACATTGACAAACCCCTCCTTTGAGATACTGTAACTGCATTTGAAAATTTACATTGTAGCATACATTTTGATATAATGGAACTGTATTCACAATTTTACAATGTTTAATCCATTTTTCTGTAAGGAAACTGTAATTTGCATGTCAACATTTTGAAATCCATTTTGTTATACTGGAACTGTATTTTAAAAAGTTTGTACAAGTTTATAATATGTTTTGATCAGAATATTATCATATTTTGATCAATAAACTTTTTCCAACATACCTGTGAGTTTGTCTAATTTGATGTGCTGGTAGGGAAAGAGGAGGCATAAATATTATTTCTTGTCAATATCCATTTAAGTGTATATTGTTAAAACAATATTTTTCAATCTGGAAAAGATTTCTAATTTTTTTGCTTTTTTTCTCTGTTTTTTTTTTTTTTTTTTTTTTTTTGTAGAAATCTGGTCCCTAAGAACATCAAAATTATGATTTTATCAAAAAAAAGGAATACATGTAAGTTTATTTTTTTCATTTAATAGAACATTCATAGAATGCATAAAAATGTACTGTCTTTGACATGCACAGACTTATTATTCTTAATTTTCCTACCAACTGCTATCATATACACCTGTTATGTAAGGTTCTGAATTTCAAAACAATCCATATTACCTCAGTTTAAATCTACAGGAAAATCAATATTACCTTGGATACTTACATGCATTTGTGCAAAACTGCATATCGTAAAAACGAAAGTAGAATGATCGAATTGTTCACTGACAAAATTTATTCTTTTAAAGTATGGCAATTCAACAGAAAACAATGCTTCATCCCTTATCTAAAAATTATATTTGTGTATAAAACTATTGCAGTAAAATGTGCTTAATTGTTTCTTACCAATTTCGATGAATTTGAGTAATTACTGCATAAGTCGACCAAACTATTTTGAGCCAAAGCTACACATGTAAATAATGCTTTAAAAAGATAAATGAATATTTATCATGCTTCAGAAAAGTTGATTGTTAGTCAGTATGTAGAGAAAAACCCTAATATTAATCTCCGGTTG